GTCAGAAACCGCTCCAGTTTCCACGAGAATGCTGAACAGACTTTACAAAACAGGCCAGGCCCTGTACAAAACAACTTAGTTTGCCATATCTGTAATAAGACCAGCATGTCGCTTGCTGGTTTAAAGAGTCATTAACGTTGTCACGAAAACTAAAAATGTTGATCAAACTTGTCAGCGATGGTTGTTTGACAATTCAACAGTATACCCTGTCTGAAGTTATTAAGCAAATTAAATAAACTTCACTAATTCAAATTTGGTTTGAAAAAAAATTGTCAAATTTTAAACAATCAATTTAAATGTCAAAACAAAGTCTGAGTTAAAATTTTAGGTAGTATCAATATGTTTTCTTGAAGTTATTGAAGTTATTTGAGGTATTCTAAAAAGCTGTCGTCTGTTATTAGGCAAAACCAAATAATTACATTTTACTTCAATTAAAAAGTAATAAAATCATCAAAAATTGATTAACACCTATAATAGAACAAATAACAAATACATATGATAATTGTTTGAATCCTTTAGATTTTAATATAGTGACCCTTCTTCTCAATAACAGACAGTAATCTATTATCCATTGATTTTTTTATTATTTTTTTTCTACTTCAGCGGGTTCAATTCGCAACATAGTAGTTTTAATTGCTTTACATAGGTCTGCTTTGAGGCTATATTCTTTGCTACTTTCATATAATTTCATCTTCGCAATTGACCACATAGATTTTCGATCGGATTCAGATCATGACTTGACGGTGGCCATACCATTATTTTCTCTCCTGTAAAACTTTTAAGCTCAAATAATTCACGGATAAGCTTAGATATATGAGAAGGGGCATTGTCGTGCATAAATACACACTTCACTTTGAAACTGCGAAACTGTGACTTTTACTGTGTAAAGAAAGTCTTGTTCATAAAATCACAATAGTTAGCATTGTTCATTTTAACTGCTTCATTGACTTTGAATGGTTCAATAATGGTTTTGTCGACAATTCCAGCCCATGTCATAACACTACCGCTTCCTTGTTGACTTCTTTTAGCTACAGGAACGTCTGAATTGGATAAAATCCATCCTTTGACCCATCTATCAGGTCCATCAATTATCACTCGAGATTCGTCTATCAAAATAACTTTTGAAAAGTCAATTTTCATGTATTTCTTGGCTCAATTTTGACGCTTTAAAATATTTGCTTCAGTGAGTGGAGGTTGTCTAGATTTTTTTTACAGATCGCAATTCACAAAGTATTCTACACCTTTTGTCCTTTTTGAATCCCTCAATTCAAGCCGTTTCAAAGATCTGAGCGCTGGCCAAAAGTGGTTGTTTAGCTGTAACTCACTTTAGTTTACATTCGTCTCAAGGAAGCAAATTCTTAAAGCCTTTTCCTTTGTTTCGAGTTCTCAAGATATTTTCAACAGCCATCTTTATTGTCCAATGATCTCTTCAAAGCTCCTTTGATACTTCCAATGTGGACATTCCCTCACTCAATAACTTTGTTATTTTCTGTTTTTCAGCAGTTGTTAGATCCTTCCCTTTACCCATGTTCCAGCATATATTATGGACAAAAAGAAAAAAATAGTTTTTATTAGATTTCAGAGGTCTTAAGCTAATATTATTTTAATCTGTATAATAACTTCAGTTAGTCCATTTTCGTAAATTTCAAATATCTCAAAAACTAATCATTAAAAATGGCAGAAACGTTAGTTAAATATTTTACTAAGGGTGGAAAGCTTTAAACCTTATTATCTGCTTGGAATAGCCACTGTCAAGTGTCGATCTGAATCTGGTCATAGTGGTCATACTCGAACCTGCTCCGGTCTCACATTACATCGAACCAGCAATATTTGTGGATGATTACAAAGTGAAGATGGTAGACAAATTCATATGCTTTGGGAGCACTGTAAACATACACTGCACTTGTGACGATGAAAAGATTTGAAGACGGCAACTGATGCTTTTTCAGATGTAAAAGATTGGGTCTGGTCTAAGAGAGGACATAAGAAGTGCATAAAGATAGCAACCTACAGTGTCTGCTTACTGACGTACCTGCTATACTCCTGTATACTCCTGCTATACTCCTGTATACTCCCACACATCAGACTCCGAGGTCCTCGAAAAGGCCAATGCAATCAGCATCGAAGCGCACATTCATCGTTTCAGGTTTCACTGGGCAGGTCATGTCATTCGCCTTAATGATAGCAGTATACCTAAGCAAATGATCCACGGTTGATTGCTCCATGGCATTCGACTACAGCATAAACCAAGGAATCGCTTTAAGGACTGTTTTAAAGGGGTCTTTAGCACCCTGCCATATAGAAGATCCCGAGTGGGAAGCTGCTTTTGTGATCGCAGTAAATGTAAGCGTACAATAAATGAAAGTACTAAGAACTTCCAATATCATAAAATGAGTTTGGCAAATGCTAAACTTTCTGCTAGAATATTGATCCAGCAATCCATCACTTTACATGTGATGAATGTGGCAGAGCATTTATCTCCTATGCAGGCTACGTTAGACGCAAAAATAGTCATACTAATAGACCATTGATAAATTATGATCAGTACTATGCTGGAAATAAATTAACTTGCAGGGTGTGTAAAAAAAAAAAAACCTACAGAAACCACTCCGGTCGCATTCGTCCCATGAAAACTCATGAGCTGACACAAAATTTACGACTTTACAAAACAGACCAGGCCCTGTAGAGAAAAACAACAACAACAACAACAAAAAACAGACCAGGCCCTGTAGAGAAAAACAACAACAACAACAAAAAAAACAAACAAACTGAGTTTGCCATATCTACATTAAGCTTTATAAGTGATTTTACTTGCTGACTTCAGGGACCTAAAATCATTGATCGAACTTGTCAGCAATGGTCGGCAGTCATCATGTATATATGTATGCATGCGTGTATGTTGTTGACATTATAGAATATAATTATATTTATATGTCAGATATACCATCTGAATTTAAGATTATAATATTTTTTTATTTTATTTTAATCAAGTAAAATATTTACAATAACTTATTTGATGTTGTGAGATTTTATTATGCAATTCGAGAGTTGTTCCTCATGTTGAAAATTATAATAGCATAGCTATTGATATTTATTATTCAAACATCATATATATATAAATGTTACTATTGGTTATGAGAAAGATATAAACCTGAAAGCAAAATATTATTTATTATGACAAGAGCACAACATGAAAATTGTGAAAAAGATGGGCAGAAATTACAGACATGTTGAACTGAAACCATATGATAATTAGAAAAAAAAAACTGGCTTTAAAAATATCACAAAAGTCATTTGAAAAGAGTAAGAAAGAGAAATGGATTTACTATCAAGAAAATATTTGGAAAAGCTGGTGCCGCGGATGTAAACAATGGTAATAGAGAATTAATACAGGGTATATGTTATAACAAAGAAAATTTAAGGTAAATAGTATTTTGATATCAAACAATGCACATTCACAATCTGCAAAACTATTACCCACTTTGACAAAAATTGTATAAACATAAAATTAATTGCGAGCCTCCTCTCTACATATTAATCCAATTGAAAAGCTGTAGTCTGTTCTTAAAAAAATTATCTAAGAGTGGAAAAAATATTCAAGTCATGAAGATATTTTAGAAACAATAAACGATGCAAGTTGAAAGAGTAGAAAAGTCGAATTAACGAATTAAAGACTGATGATCATTACAGAATGGCAAGTTAATTAACAAGTAAAATAAAAGAACAATTAATTCATTTACACAGAATATTGTGTTAATCAAATGTTTCTGTGGTCTATATATTTTGGATTTATTTATAAAATATTATGTTGTCCTTTGTTTGCCTGAGACAATATGACATCTGTCAAATAAGTTATTATCAATAACTTGTTATTATTTTGGTTAGATATTATAAGCTGAAACTGAAATGAACTTTTACTTATGTAAATATAAATATATTCTGCTTGTTAATATCATGGTGAAAAACTGACTTACATTATTAAATCTGACATATTTCAAATCTTATGGTATTTATAATTGTATAGGTTTACATATATATGAGAAATATATAATTAACTTCGTGTTGTATATCTATCTATCTATCTATCTATCTATCTATCTATCTATATATATATATATATATATATATATATACACGCATACACATATTTATTTAGCACTATATGTATACACGTAATAGTTTTATGCGTGTGTGTAAAGGTTTGTGATTCTTTGTGTTCATTAATTATTAGTGCGTGTGTTTTGGTGTGGGATGTATATATATATATATGAATGCCTGTGAGAGATCCACTTTCGCACGCGATTGCAATCAAGAACTTTTTTCCTCCAGACGCTCATATAAGTCCGACCTGAGTGTAAGCCTCGTCCCTAACCCCTATCCCATTACTTCTGCCGCCTCCGCCGTATTTGCTTGCATATAATTAAACAACAGCAGAGGAACGGTGGCTTCGTGCATCACTAAAACGGCGAACAGAATGCGTGTTACAAGCCCGCAGCTCATTTGCGCGAGGCCAGTCAAAAAAAAAAAACAAAGCAAAAAAAACAAAACAAATACAAAAAAAAACAAAACCAAAAACAAAACCAAAAACAAAACAAAACAACAACAAAAAACCCTAAAAAAACAGGAGAAGGAAACACAAAATAAACAAAAGAACATTCTATCCTACAATGCCTAGGAAAAATACAAACAAAAACAGAAAAAAAATTTGCGATTTCTTTTTCTGTTTCAGGGTAAGGTCGTTTTTGACTTCGTCAAGCCCAAGACAAAACGCAAATCTAACATAAAACAATAAGAAGGTAAGAATTGCTTCGATGACGGTTGTAGGTAGGTGGAAGCCTAAGCGCCTTGCCCCAAACACTGATTCTTTCTCCACTCACTTGTTGCACAGAGATCTTTTTCCTTTTTCACTTTTTTCCGATGCATCGCGTTGCTGTCACAACAGCTTCTTAGTTTTTGACGAAAGACAGAAATAAATTAATTAGAAGAAAAAGAAGGAATAACTACGAATCAAGGCGGGCTGGACATGAATTATTGATAAGAGATCGATGAAAGCAGAATGGAAGGGTCCCGAGCGCGTTTCGGATCGGAAAAGCGAACGTGAGAACTTGTTGGGCGTCTTTTGCTCCCGGGCCCAAGTGGGGGCGGATAGGATGGAGTACAGCATGGATTTCAGTTGTGCTTTGGGTGGGATGGCAAGGGAAATTCATCGAACGAAGATGAAGATAAGGGTGCGGTTCAGAGATAAGCATAGTGGACGACATTGGGGTGCCTGTAAAGGAAGAGTATCCATGTTCACGAAAACCAGTAGACACATGTAGACACACACATAGACACACAAGGAAGTATACATTTGCGAATAAGACATATATAGTATTTGTATATAACGTATTCACATAAAAACTTAGTCAAGTTAAGAAAATAAAAAGGATTAGGAAATGTTGTGCTAATCATCCTGTGAACCTAGAAAATCAGAAATTTAGTGACAGTAAAAATACGCCACTATCTTATTCACTACGCATGCAGTCACATGCGTTCGAACGCGGACACACACACACACACACACACACAAACAAAGAGGCTGTTGAAAAATATAGATCCGACGAAGAAGTGATTAAAATGAAAAGTCATGTTTCATCCTGATAAACACTAATCATAATTGCGAGAGTGTAGTGGCAGGAAACTTTCTCTCTCTCTCTCTCTCTCTCACTTTATTCTGTATTCATCAGCGTGGCATATTAGAGGCAAAAAGTGGCACAAATCGGGGGTTAGTAGATTCATGCCTTTCCATATGGTATTATTGCTAAGTGAATGCAAGCAGTCCTAACTGCAATTCGGACGTAATTTGTTGATACAGTTCTCTCTCGCTCTCTTTTACGGATGTACGTATGTATGTGTTTGTGGGACGGGAAAAATCTTTCAATAATTTCTAGGAGAAATGTTCTTGCATATTTATCTATAGACAAGGAAGAACGAATGGAAATGGGGTCCTAAATCGCCCCACCCTACCTTAAGCGTTATTTTCAGCCAGATTTCTTTCAAAATGCTCGCCTGCCTCATGAAGTTAATTCTATATGGATGATCAACTGAGATAAATCGGAAAATGCTTCGGGTTCGGGTTAATTTACCAATGCCAAATATAGACGCATACCAATATTCGTTTGCGATTATACCTTTTTCTTACTATTGTTGCCATTATTACTATTTATTTATTTATTATTATTATTATTATTATTATTATTATTATTTCTCAAAGTTTATTGCGTCTTTGATTAGCATTTTCCTTCCTTATTTCGGTGCCTCGTTTTTTTTTGGCAAGCAATTGCAATCCGGCCCAAGAGACAAGATCACATAAGATAAGAAGAAATTGAAAGCAGAATCAAGTTTCTTTGTGAATTTATTTCTTCATTGGTAAATCGATTTGAAATTTGTGATGCTACCAAAATGATCATCACTTATAAGTACAAAGAGAAACACCCGGATAGACACACAAAGACACATGAATAAAGACACACAGACACGCAGACGGGCACATTGATCGAGAAAGCCACATATAGACCAGGAAAGTTTGTTTTAATAAAAATATACACCTGCATATTTATTAGGCTTAATTAGTGGACACGAGCAAATTGATGGAAAATACGAGCAAAAAGACTGTGATGCGGCAATCTTCCAAAAAGGGGAGAACTGCCTACCTTGATAATTTGAGATAGACGCTGCAGCATTTACCTTGACTTATGTTCAAACATATCGAACCATAAACACATATACAATGAAATAAAAGAGAAAGAGGATTAGTGGGATTGCTTGCAATGCACACACAAACACACGCATGCACACACACACAAACACACGCATACACACACACACACATATAGATATATGTGCGTGTGTGTGTGCATGTACATGTGTGTGTGTGTGTGTGTGTCTGAGAGAGAGTGAGAAGAAGAGTGGACGAGAGGAAAATAAACAAGAAAATGGATTTATAGTGGTTTGAAAACCAGAGCGAAAGGGAGACATAAAGAAAAATTGATGCAGAGAGTTAAAGAGGATAGAGATAAATGAAGGAGAGCGGTAAGATAATTGAGATAGAGTTAAAGAGGAAGAAAAGAAGAAGGGATAATAAAGCAAATGGTGATGTGGAATAAGAAGGAGAGAGAAATAAGAGTAACTAGGAGATGTATAGATAGAAAGAGAGAGCTGTATGAGAGAGATGGAGAAAGACAAAGAGATAGAAAGAGGATGAAAAAGAAATTTAGATAGAAAGAGAAAAATAAGGAGAAGGAAATAAAAAACAAATATATTTTCAGTCCTACAAAATGCATTCGCCAGAAAGTCATCACCCAAACGTACTGAAAGTGCGTCCTAATATGTTTATACTTACATATATAGGAATGTGTTTTCGTGTGATTCATTAAATTATTCGAAGAATCATTCGAGGTTTTCAATTAGCCAGTCAATATATATGAAGCAAAATAACTGATAGTCTGAACAGGACACTGCATCGAAAAACTACTGATCTCAGTTGCATGATCGTATACTGCATCACCTGTAGAGAGGCGTCGTATATGATCGCTGGTTGACTTTCATGTGCATAAAAATTATTTCCTGATTTAATGCCTTATTCTAACAAGTTAGTTGCATACCGAACAATAATATTTTGTACAATTCCTTATAACGTCTTTTCTGGCTCCCTTTCTCAGTAGATTCCGTCTATGTTGACATGGTGATATGTGTCCTGGTTCTAACTAAGAAGTTTTCGTTTTGGATTTTCGCAATAAATCTATTTTTCATCACCAATAACACACACACAAAAAAATATTTGGGAATAACTAAATGATATTTTTTGTTAAACAAGAAGAAAAAGAAATTATTTAAACGCCAGCCAATTTTCGTTTATATCCATGCATGCGCGAAATTAAAAATATAAAATAGGGACAATTTACCCATCTCACATTGCGCGTTGTTTGTTTTTGATTTTGTCGACTGCACAATATAGTAGGGTCAATTGGGCACCGTCTGTGAGAACAAGAGGACCATGACGCAATTCACTAGGCCAGAAATTTGGAAACGGCATGATGTACTGCTTGGCATACTCGCCAGCACCTTCAATGCAAACATTTTAGAGTGTTTAGGTGTTAGTCAGACAGTGCAGAGGATTCGGAAAGAGTTGGATCAGTCTAATGGTGATTATGAAGATGCGGCAGCTCGGAAAACTCTCACTGAGTGTTCTGATAAGAAAAGAATTCCCGAATTTATTGGTGAGAGCCTCAAACTCAACTACCTCCTCAACAGATTAAGTGCTTTAAGGAGGAAATGCTGCCCTGGTTCAAGAGGGTGGCTGCTGGAAGACCCTATGTATGGTAACAGGATTCTGCACCATGCCACACAAGTAGGAGAACCTAGTCATGGCTGCCCGACAATTTCTGAGACCACATCACCCCTTACATCTGGCCATCTGACTCTCCAGACTGCACCCCCCCCCCGTTGATTATTATGCGTGAGGCGCAGTTCAGCGAGAGACCAACAAAACTCCTTGTAAGACCAAAGATGAACTAAATGCAAGGATTATGTTCAGTATTCATCAAATTAAACAAGGAGACCGCCCAGAAGAAGTGCAGGATATTTTGAAGTCGTCTGCAGGCCGGGGTTGAAGCCTTTTGTTGATTTTATTGAATACATTTACCCTCTTAGGATTTCAGGATATTTTGTGTAATTTTGCTAAATATATTTTAAAAATAAAATGTCTGTTATTTTCATTTTTGCTTAATTTAGACAACAGTTTATCAATTGCATCCTTTATGTCCATGTACAATCGATTTTTCGCTTAATAATTTTAGCTAACGATTGTAAACAACATATTATAAATAAACTTTAGAAACATATAAATAAACTTTAGAAAGTTCTAAAAATTTCTCAACATTATACAAATGTATAAAATAAGCTTATTAAATATGAAAGAGTGATATGTTATCAAGTGACAGATTCCTTGAGTTGCGAAACAGATTTCGAAAATATTTTCAACTGGATTCATATTTAAATAATTTGGTTAATTTAGTCACAGATTTTCATCGATTGTTCGGCATTCTCGACCTTCTGGGAGAGCATGTGAAGCTTATCAAATAGTTTGGAACAATATATAATAAGAAAATTTTGTAGGCTATTGTTAGTGAGTTTCATATTTAGTACAAATGCAGATACGTAGATACATTTTGCATAAATTTTCAATAAAAGTCTAATAATATGCACATAAAGCTTCCACACATATAGAATTAAAAAAGATGGAAATAGAGAGAAGGAAGAGAAGAAAGAGATGAAGAAGATAGTGAAATTAAAGAGAAGAAAGAAGAGAAAAGAAAAAGAGGGAAGTGAGTGTAAAGAGAAAGCACAGTAAAGAGAAAGGGAGAAGAGATAGAAAAAGAGAGAAAGAAGGAAGAGGGAAGAATGAAAGTGATGGCAGGAAGAGAGAGAGATGGGGGAAATAAGAAACGACACTATAGACACAGTGATAAAATTAAAACTGCCCCTTCCTGGAGGCCGATGTTGATTTTGACGGGGGTATATTATAATCATGCGAGAGAATAGTGGATATTCTGATAAAGGTTAGAAAGTTTTCGACCATCTTGTAATGCAGTGACCCTCATACCAATGCACATCTTCCAGAAGATGGATGGTTATTTTGGAGAATTGCTGCTCGTATTGACGATGCTTAGGTGTTGGTAACAGTGACCCAATTAACATTCCGGTGCATTGTAAAAGCAGTTCTGTTTGACTGCATGGTGTACATCAAATGTCTGCGGTGTGTTAACACAGACTATTGGCGTTCGTTTATTTGTAGAAGGTAAGCCTCTACTTATGCTGTAACACCGTCGTGCAGGTCTCTATTGGTATCGAGCGAGGCTCACCTGGGAAATGGAATGGGACTCTATAATGTAGTGACTGAAGAAGGTTCTTCCTTCATGCAAGTAATGTCCGCTTGTGTGTGGCGAAGACCTGTGGCAGAGCGACATTTAACAGAGCTTATTTACAGATGGAACTTTCTTTCCTTTGGCTTTTGTAGAGGGAACAGCACTATGTACGCAGAGAATATTGTTCAAATCGTTCTACTTTATTTTTGCAACAGGAAGGCAATGTCATGTTCTAGAAGGAAACTGACCGCTCACATGACATCTGTATTACTAACATGCACTGCAAGATGTTCGGCAACTTCGCTTGCCCGGCACGATTGCCAGACATAGACCTTATTGAGCATATATACGACATGATGGGATGACACGCAACTCGTCCACAAAGCTTTTGATGTATTGCTTCAACAGCTACAAGATGCGTAGAATAATGTATCGTAGAATTAAATTCACTATTACTATTGTACGTAGGTAAGAGTATTGGCTTTTCTTAATGCCTATAAAGTAATTTAGTAAGCGTAGAATCGAACTCACTATTCAGTTGTAAATGACCTAGCGAGACAAAATTACCAAACATTACATCACGTCGCCCTCTTAACGCCCATATAGGATATACTGTGTATTAATAATGTGCCTACATACTGTTGATATCCCAATTATTTTGGAACTTGTACACATATTTCTGTAGATATGATCATTTACTATAGACCAACTATATTATTGTACGTTTAATCTTGAGTAAATTCAGACCACTTTAGTGCATCGCATTTGTATTTTCTGTCAGTGTATTATTATTGAAGTTCGTCTTACTTTTAAGTTTGCAATCGGTTTTCGAACCTAGGTAAATGCTCAATTAATTATTAACCTGAAATATTTCGATGAATTTCAGTGATATTTTGAGACTGATATTTTTTTAATGTTCTTTTCACAGCTTTTCGAATGGTTTATATTCTGAACTTATTGAGGTGGAACATTAAAAGTGTCGCAGCTATTGAGACTTAAAAACAAATATATTCAAGATTAGAGCTGAACAACATTTTTTTAATCAATTCACTACAAGCAAGGCCCTAATGCTACTAAAATACAAGAGGCTATTGGAAGTGAAAGAGAATGAAAAATACTTTAGAAGGAACCGGAAACACAATCATAAACATGAAACAAGAGATAAAGCAATACTTCTGTTCAAAGAAGGAGTGTGGAAGGCAAAAGATTATTGCCAGTATCTGTAGTAATAAAAGTATCATGCTCCAAATAAATAAATACTTTAAATAATGGAATTGGTACATACAATATTATTAAGATATGCTATTAGCAAGTCCAACATAAGAAGGCCAAGAATTAATAAAGAAGAGTAAAGAAAAACAATGTCGAAAAATTTGGCATCAACAGTAAGAGAGATAACAATAAAACAAAGATATTTGAGAGTAAATATTCTTTATAACAATTTTTTTGCCGCTCGGATTGTTGTGTATTTCCTGCTGTTTTCAATAATCATATGCACGACTCGGTTACAAAAAAGAAAAAAAAAGATTTCAGTTGTTGATTTTCAAAGAAGGTATCTTCTTTATTCTCAAAGAGGAGACTCTTGGTTCCTAGGGAAGGACTTCCAATTTTATGGGAAGGAAATTCAAATCTCAGGGTATGAAATGTAGCATTGAGAGGAATTTTAGTCATATTTATAAGTCAAAAGTACAATGAAGAACAATTGCTAAGTAACAATTCAAAAAGGGGGAGGAATTGAGAAAATCTGGGATCGCAAAGGGAGAAATATGATTTGAGGTTCTGCGAACCTCTTCACTATAATTAAAAAATTGGTGCTACATAATATTCTAGTCACAATTTAGTGAATATGCAATATTAGCTTAGTTATTTTTGTAATTCTTGCTAGATTTTGGTAATGGTTTCAATTCTCACGCAATACGCCAGAAAAGACGAAATGTGTCTGAGTTGGGTTAATGTAGGTAAATGTAAAAAGTTATAAGTGCATCTTACAAGTGTTTGTCTTGTGGGGTTTGTTATGGAGACCTTGTTTAGTGGTGTCTTTTTTTCGCAACTTTTATCTCTTTTCACTGGGATTATTGTGACGCTCCAACTTCCAAGGAACTAAAAGAAAGAGAGAAAAGAAAAGTAAATTGATAATTTTTTCTCAGTTAAGAAAAAAAAAAGGAAATTTCATTTTATTGTTTTTATTGAGATGGAATTTTCATTTTCAATTAAAATTTTGCCTCTCCGCATCTTGATTTTATTTATTTATTTGCATTTCGCGACTTGTTTCTAAACTAGCCAATTCCATGTCGAGCAAAGTGTAGCAGTCACTAATACACACTCGCAAAAAATCCGTCTCATCACACAGACACTCGGATATATACAAAAGCTTACCCAACCCGAGCATACTTGCAGAGAGAAACGTATAGACAGACAAAGCCTTGTTTTATTTGTACAATAAGGACATTTATATAACTAAATTTATTGAGCTCTTTGTTCTTATCCTCTTCATTTGGTTCAATAAAATACACACACACACACACACACACATACACACACACACACACACATATATATATATATATATATATATATATATATATATAGAGAGAGAGAGAGAGAGAGAGAGAGATAGAGAGAGACTGAGAAAGACAGAGATAGAGAAAAAGGAAAGAAAGTGAGAGAGAGGGATAAAGTGAGAGGATGAGAGATTCATATACAAAGTTTGATCAATATGTCCGTAACCTGAATATTGATTTTTTAAAGTTTTCAAAAGAAAATTTTACATCTATTTTATTAATACTCATCACGAAGTGATATGCATTCAAAAAGATTATTTTGTAAAATACATGTATTGCTGTGTAATGTAAATGCTTTTAATTTACCATCTTTACGATACGTACCTATATATGTGTGTGTGTGTGTATGTGTGTGAGTGAGTGAAAGAGAGAGAAAGAGTATATGAGAGAAAGAAAGAGAGAGAGATAGAATGGGAAATAAGCAGAATAATGTTAGGGAATATCTTTGGTGCGTGCAAATATTTTTTGAAAAACTGAAACCTGAATACACATTAGAAAATGCTTTTTTTTAGAAATAAATAATCTGAAAATTTTAGCGCACAAGTTATGAAAAAATGGTGCTAACCTGACGATGGCAGTTAACTAATAAATAGCCAGAGGGATTAGTTTGACATCTAAACAGCAACACTGACGTATAAGGTGAGAATCGAACTCAGTGTCATTACTACGCTGATATGATATCACCCCATATATTGCATTTCTTAAATCTGGTCTATCAATTAGAATTTAGCATTCACTACAAATGATTAGTTTCGAAGGAGTGTCAAAGTCGAACATCCCATGGCAGCTTTCAAAAGGACTTAAAGTCACCTATATCAACCTGACCACCAAAGCAGCTGACATCCTGGCAAGTTAGTACTAATCTTAATCCCCGATTTATTTGAAGTTAATTTAGTTGAACGCTAGTGTCCATAAAATACTTCAATTATTCCTCTGTAATTCACGACAGATGCACATGGTTTAGTTCTTTTTTAATAAGCAATGCTTTCTAGTTATATTCTAAGATTTAATCTATCACAAAAAATGAAGTCCATCGACCGAAAAGGAATGGAACAGATATATAAAAAAGAAATTTGACAAATATACCATCCATATTTGTGTATATGTCGGATTTCTAAGACTGAATTTTAAGGCTAAAAATGAGAGTCGACTTAGGTTTTGTCTGGGCGAAATGTGTACTAGATACGGAGTGTTTCTTGGGTTCAGGGTTTAAAAAATATTCATCAATAAAATATGTCCTCTAATATAATAATATTATCTCTGAAATATATTATTTCATTTTAAAGCGGTCTCGTGTAAATCAGTCACATTTTGCTTTTGATATTCAGTACATCAGGCACACAATTTCTTAGTTTATAGAATTGAAACTTTTAGAAAGTGTCTTGTAGATGTGAATATGAAACTGTTTTGGTGTAATTTGTTACTGGATTAAGGGAATAACTGAAATCAACGAATACGAGGTCTGCCCGGAAATGATCCTGTTTTCTAATATGAACAAAACGGTAGCCTGCCTCGTAGTACCGTAGACGTCTATCCCAGAGTTCTTTCCACTTTTCAAAACATTTTGCAGAGTGCCCTTTCTGGATCGTCTCGTCATGTCTACCTTAAACTCTCACACAGTCTTTTCAACTATGGAACTGACTATTTTGGTTTATGTGATATTTTGCCAAAAAACACTGCACGAGGCGTGGAGGAACTGTAACTAAAATATACGATATTCACAGACGGACCTTGTATATCAGGTATATCATGAGATACAGATACTTTGACCAAAAGATTTAAAATTGTTACATATATATATATATATATATATATATGGTAGCCAGATATATTAGCAATATTTTGTCTTTATATAATGAATTCCTGGTCGATGCGACTGCACCTTTCCAGCTAGGACAAGTCAAAACATGTCATTTATCGATAAAAAAATCAATTGTTCGTGACTATCGGTGATCGGAGTGTTCTACTTGAAGCTTGTTTCCAGTTCTGTGAGATTTCCTGCCCTCTGACCTCGTTTGATTCTCCGCTACATCCCCCGTTCTTTTGTGCCCTCAACCGGATATGTCTTTTTCTTGTTCAGACCTTCTTAATTAATTTCACTTTCGATTTTTGCAAAGGCCGTGCGTTTATTAATTAATAAAGCAGAAGCAATAACGAACAGAATAGGCTACCGTAAGAAAAAATAAAATAAATGAGCAAAAACTTTTCATTATTAATCTACATATACTATGAAGAATATTTTTATCTTTTTTTGTTGTTTTTACACAGATTTTCACTCATTATGTTTTTCGGCCTTAACATTAAACTGCTTCAATTCAGAGCAATGAATAGCTTCCGACGACTCTAGAACTTTCATCTCATACCTGAATATGCTATATCATGTAGAACTGACCATACGATAGGGTCTAAAGTTAGTTCTTTGTTTTAGTAAATATTCTGGACCCTTCCTAAACAGGACAAGAAAAGCATACAGAGTGGATTAGAGAGTGATAAAATTACACAAATGATAGAACAAATTACGGAAATGATAAAGATTAAATATCGTCCATATTCATGTATAAATAAAAAAAAACTCCAGCGTTTTCAAGGTCAAATTTAGTTATAGTCCTATGAGTTTGAAATGATGTGAAGGGCAAGGTACATCTCGTAGATTTACACATGAGAAATATTTACTAGTAACGAAAAAACAACATAAAACTCCCCCAAAACAAATCCAACTCATTTACAATGCTCTATGCTCAGCGGCTTGAATCAATATTTTAACAGAAGCTTTGGTCCCATATTTATATAAAATCTGGAATTTGTTAGATGACTTTTCGTCGTTAAATGTGACACATGATCTGTTTGTGGGGCTCCACTTGGGTACACGTATGCAGAGAGAGCGTCATGAAGGCCTTAGAATAGTGTGATCCACCATTTTTTTTAGCAACAGGAACGTGTTGCCTCGGAATCGGTACTCCCAGATTCAGTCTCGCCGCATTTTTAATACCATCTTGCCCGAAGGATCCCATCATACTGCACTAGAACATGCTACTGACTAATAATACACTTGTAATCTCAGCCCTAAGTGAACAGATAATACGCGGATCCTAGACACAGAACTGAGAAGCAACACTCTTTTATACTGATCATCGGCAGACGTGCCAATCTATTATCTAAACAATAGTAACATTTTTAAATTGTAATAATAATAATAAAATTAATAATATTTGGGGCACGTGACCTACATCTCTGATGATAAGTGGTAATAGTCATTTTTTTTTAAGTTTGAAGGATGTAGCAGCCAAGACGACTTGAGAAATATCTCTAGATGTTTTAGATCACCCTCACTCGAGATCTGTCTGAGCGGACTGGCTTACTCGACCAGGGGATAATTCTAACTGGGCCCCAACTACAATGTTATGTACGGCTTTTACCAAAACCTATCAGCATATCGTACAATTTATCTGTGATGCATGTGCTTGGTATACTTCTATCAGACTAGGTGTCATTATGGGTATATTGAGCTTCATACATTATTACCCCAGCATCACATGATTGGCGTGTTGCTCTCTCAACCAACAATAATAATAATAATAATTTACCACTATCTGGGGTGGGGTACGTTTCAAGACCCCTATCAGATACCTAAAATCGCAGATTCTACAGAATCATACATATGGCATATTCACCCCCTATGATAAGGTTGAATTTATGGGGAGAAGTGGTGAAGTAATACCTTTCCGAATGGTATTTGCGCGTAAGTGAATATAACGAACCCAACTGGAAGTGGAACTCGGCTCTCTGATTTCCAGTCTCGAACCGTTGTCGATTACACCCACCCGCACATCCAAATTTATCCACAAGCGGTCACCCATCTAGGTTCTGACCAGGCCCGACGTTGCTTAAGTTAGGTGATCGTACGAGAACCTTACGAGTCATATAGTTTCAGCGTCATATAGCCGTAAGCCAAGAGATGGACAGAAAATTTCTTCTTACCGTCGATCTTAGTGACCCCAACTTACGATTATTGAAATTGCGAGCATCACTATCACATCAGAACTATTTATTAAGTAAAACTTAAGAATTATTTATTTCTGTGGTTAGCAGCGGATAACCGAAATCAAGGTAATGGGCAACTTTACATCTGGCAGTTCAGCAAATCTTTCTTTGTTTTTAAGGAAATGTTCCAGTTTCTTTGGTTACTTTATTCTAATTTTGGAAGGCAACTTTCGCTATCCAAAGTTCCTTCGGATTTCAATATCACATTTTCCGCTCTGTCAAAACAATTGCCAAATATTTAAACTTCCATACTAGCTTTATTTTGATGTTTCCGTTTTGTAGCTCTCATATTGTACTGTTCCCCTTTGCTAATGACCATAACTTCTGTCTTCTTACAATTGCTTAGCCCTTTCTTCCCGTTTTCCCTTTCCTTTACTACCTTTTCTATGAATGCATGTTTTCATTTATTGTAGATTGTCAGCATTAGTAATGTTGCATTTTAGGACAATTATTAAGTAAAAACTATTAAATAACCGCGGGTAAGTGAAACCACAAACACGAATCCACGGATAAAGTTGTTGCAGTGATAGAAATAACATGGTATAAAATAATAAATGTAACCTTTTTAGAAAATTCTCTTTCATACGGTGTAGTAATGGGTATCGGCTCGGATTGAGGAATCGGAGAGCCGAGTTCGAATCTCAGTCTAATCCATTACATTCACTTAGGTGCTAATACCCTTAAGAAAGTTATGAATCCTCCTCTTCTCCCCCAGCTATGGGTAAATAGTAGGACCAATCGGGTTCTGTAGCCTTGGATGGTAACTGGTCTACCGCAGAAGGAAATGGCAACCTACTGTAGGAAAAAGCTGTCTCGTCAGTCATGTATCGAAAGATACATAATAGCCTACGCGTGTATCACGCATGGCACATAAATGACTGATGTCTTTAAATAAAATGTTTTACTAAGTGGAATCGAGCTAATATTTTTCTGGTCAAATGCGAAATATTTTGTCAATTCCTCATTGACTGGGGCAAATTCAATATACACGAACATATCAGAAAATAAAAATGACATTAAAAACTGTAAGAAACTAAAATAATGTAAGCGATTGTAAGATTTTACGTGTAAAATTGAAAAATCCTGTGTCAAACTCTGTTAAAATTTCTGTTTTCCCTGCACGTTGTCACCAAAGTTTAAGAAGCTATTGTTTTGTCAATTTCAGAACAAATGGCTTTTTATTTAACTTTCTCTTATCTAAAATAATCTACAGTATTAAAATCGACATATCAATCTTTTGCTTCCCTGCTTATTTTTTTTCTTCATTTTCTTTGTATGTTGGTCAAAGAACAGCCTCACTGCGAATCGACATCCAATCTCTTTATCTAATCTGTGTTCGTTTTTTTCCCCCCGGACATGCGTTAGTGTTAAATCCGCCGGGCGCGACATCTTGAGTGGGATAATCTCTTTGAGACGATCAAGTAAAGTAATGGCGCTGTTTTAGCTATGTCGACAGACGAGACAAAATCTGACTTTACGCGTTAAACAATAGGAAGGCAGTCATTGTTAGGAAAAAGAACCGGAAGTGCCTCCAGCGATTTTCAAGTGGCCGATGGGAAGTTGTTGGTTTATCGTTGATGTAAAACGGACACAGGTCGCAAAACGGAGATATATTATTGCTGAAAATGAAATGCAATAACGCCCGGAAATTCCTGCCGGCCATTTTAGTCAGCGGTGGTCTATCGCCGCCATCTTGCGTGAAACAACAAACATGTAATATTATCAAGGGAAAACGTGCATTTTTGATGGGCTTGTTGGGTCAGTATATGTATGTGCATGCGTGTTTTTAAGAGTCCTCTACTACATACTCGTATGTATTTGTGAGTATGCGTAAAAGCGAGAGAGAGAGAGAGAGAGAGAGAGAGAGAGAGAGAGAGAAATGAAAAGATGTAACATGAGAAATAAAAAAAAAAGAAATCGAGAGGAGGAGGAAAAAAGAAAAGTTAAGGAAGGGAAAGACTGTACAAGAAGGAAGAAAATAAGAAAGACTGGAAGCGCTTAAAAGAGGTACAGAAAAGAAAGCAAAAAAATGAAGATTTTACAAAGGATAAATACGGAGAGAGTGGGTAGAGAAAGACAAAGGTTGAGAGAGAAAAGAGGTGAAAAGAAAGAAGGAGAGTTAAATGAAGAAGGATAAATAAGGGGGATGAGAAATTAAAAGAAAGTGAAGAAAAGGGAAAGAGAGCAACGAAGAATGGTAGAGAGAAGTAGGGAGATAGAAGAGAGATGGAGAGAAAACGTTCATGCATATTTGAATTCAATGAAGTGAAAGCGTGCTTTTATTTGTGCGTGTATATGATCATTTCTCTGTATGTGTTTTGCGTATATTGATGTTTTAATGATGGAGAGTTTAATAATCTGTGGGGTTTCGTTACCGGATGATTTCCGAAAACAACGCATCCCTACCTCCTCAAACGGCAAAGCATCGGAAAAGGCATGCAAAAAAGAAAGGAAGAAAGCAAAATCAGAGCTTAAAAGAGGATAGATTTGTCGTCGCCTTCCCACGTTAGACACAACCTCTTATTATTTTCTGCTTATTCGTTCGGAAATAACTTCACATTATTCATGAAAATAATGTAATTCTAATAGGCTTTGAATCACTAAAACGTTTCTAATTGATAGAACTGTTAATATTAACATTGTTCGATCCTCTAAGAGTTTTCTCATGCTACATCCATTCATTTCCTTTCATTATTATACACATATCCTTGACGAATATTATCAGAAGTTTTAATAACTTTTTCTGCTTTTTTTAATAAGACATAAAAATATGAACATACTTGTCAAGAAAATATATGAAATAACGATTATTCTTATTGGTGCAAAAATTTCTTGATTTTGTTTACACTAATGCCTTTGAGAGAAGCTTGACCCCGCCATCCTTTTCTCAGAGCTGTCTCATAGACAATTATCGTAGTCAACGTCTCGTCACTGACATGCCACATTAGATCATAGAGAAAAGAAAATGAAATACGTATTATAATAAAAGACTTTGTGATAACAACATAGTCATTGATGTCGTTGTAATTACAAATTGTTATTATAGTCAACCATGACGAGAGCAAGTCATATTTTCTTTGAAACACAATTTTCGAGCGTGCAGTGTATTTAAGTGAGATTGCTTGGAACGTTAAAATATTTTCCTGGTTATTCTATTCGAAATTTTTGAGGTCTTTGGCATCGACGATCTGAAATGGGCGATTTGTTTATGCATTAAATATCCGGAAAAAATGTTTCTCTCTCTCTCTTTCTATATAAATCTCTTTTACATTAAGCTCGAAATATCACTTTTCTATTTAAACATTTGCATTTTCATTGATTTGTTTGGGAACTTTTTAATAATTCAACATGTTATCATATTATATAAATTTTGGCAACATTTTTAGCAAATGTCTTTAATAGATTAACTCTCATTTTTCTCAATATTTTGTCATTTGTGGTCTTCTATATTTCATGGGTGCTATGTGATGCCAGTAAATTTAATCGATATTTTGACAAACATCTATAGGAAAAGATAAAAGCACACACACACACACACACACACACACACACACACACACACACACACACACACACACACACACACATATATATATATATATATATATATATATATATATATATATATATATAATATATGACCAAAGGAATGAAAAATTCTAACAATGTGTATAATATAATTTTACAGCGTCACTGTATCTTCAACATTTTGATAAAACCCTAATTTGTTGTTTTTCCACACACACACACACACACACACACACACACATATATATATATATATATACACACATATATATATATATATATGAGATTGATTCCATTAATAAAAACGTTAATTGTTTTCTAGAAACCCTCTTTCAGAACGAAAAGCCCCAGAGTCAAATTTGTCATTTTGTTATTGATTTGCCCACTACTATTATGATATATGTTTATCTTTTATGTTATATCCTTCAGATACGTGCAACAACAACACTCTTTCTTTTATATATATATATATATATATATATATATATATATATATATATATATATATATATATATATATAATATCATTAAATATCATAATGTTTAATGTTTTTGCTATTTGTGGTGGTAATTACTTGGCAACAAATGCCAGCAGTTCCGTTCAATTCTCTCGAACTCGTGATATTCTTATGAATGTAATAATTTACATGAAAACTTGGATTAGTCTGGAGACTGGATCTGTAGTTCTCTTCAGTCGTTGAGATTGTTCTCAGTGCAACAAAAAGTAAAGGTACCATTCTAACATTGTTTTTCCTCAATTTTTTCTATCACAAATTATTTCAAGAGAAACGGCTTCTGTCAGTATTTGATACTATAATATTGTGTCAGATTAGAACCAACTAAATAAGACGATCTTTTTTGCAAGGTATGCTGTGGAGCGAGAGTTAGCACAACATTTGCATTTGTAGTGAAATTAATTCTCACAAGTTTGCTTCTATGGTGGATGTGTCGGACAAGATTAATTATTGTAAATATGCCCTGAAAAATTTTAGTAAGTTGATTAATCTCACAAGTTATTGGTCATGGTTTTGATTCTAGGTGCATTCTACGAGATTGTGTTGTAAATATATAATATGGGCACATACCGAAGAGCAATGCTTACATAGCTATTCTTACGGTACATTCACGAGTTTCCAACGTGTTTGATTTTCAATTTGAACAAAAACCGCCATGATTTCCACACGGATACTTATCCGGGTAGAGTGAATAGAAAAGCAGCTCCAGCTGGCATACAGGTATATTGTATTAAGAAAGATACCCCGGATGTTATACGGGTAGACTTGGTTAAAAACAAACTACTCTCCATTAAACAATTTTTACGACACTTTATGTTGAATGTTGATTATTTTTTCATCTACTTTTTTATCACTTTCCAAAGGCTCTAACTTTACCAACTCCATCCCCGACGGGAAAATCTATGAAAGTAATAATCAATCAATAATCACAAATCGACAAATAATCATTATACTGCAATATTCTTTCCGCATCACGCTATTATCGCCGCCCTTGCAGAAATTGGTATTACCTTCAAAAAATGATTATTGCATTTTTATGAACATTCGCGTACTTTAAGAATGTTTACAGACTTCTGGGGAATAAGTGTGTGTTTTTTTACAGAAATCATAGAACCCTTATTCAGTTATCAAGACATTTTTTAATCTTGCATTATCTTTCATTTCATTTGTGTATTCCATCATAAAAGGACGTCTCCCCGTTGACTCCATATACTCTTCAAGTAATTTTTCTATATCTTGACTTGTTGCAACCATATATAGAGTGTTGCATGGAGCGAAAACACTGAGAGTCTGAAAGTAAAATACAAAATCTTCTAATGTTAGATCCAGGATCGGTTCAATAATCGTACTGAAACCATTAAGAAAGGTCTTGTCATGTCGGTAAATTACTGGACGGTATATATATTCAAACGTTTTATTCAAACGAGTTCATCGATTCACTTTTAATTTGTTTTCTAAGTTATTGATTTTGCACTAATATAGCTTATGATAATGTTTTTCGGAGTTACCTTCATCCTTTGCATGAATGAGCTAAGTTGAATGAATGTATTATACACAGACACGCATGTATATATTTAAACAATTAGCGTTTAATATTTTTCTTATTTTTATTAGCGGTGACCAGATTCACTATTATTGGCTTGATTATCATTTAAATGAGGATTTGAAAAAACTTGAACGGTTTTTCAAAGTGAAATCCTGCTGGATATTTTCTCATTTGAATGTGACCTGTTTTCTTTTGAAAGAAATCTTTGACAAAGTGCACTGCATAAATTCTCTCTACCCTTTCAAATAAGCGTGAATGCGAATTACAACAAAAGAAGAACAAAGAGAACGTGGGTAGAAGAAAGAGAATATGAAATTGTAGAAATAGAGAGAGGATAAGGAACATGAAGAAGGAAAGCGAGAGACGGATTAAGAGCATTAAAGAAAGTAAGAGAGAGATGTATCCATGAAAACAAAGAGGGAACGAGGTATATATACTGAAAAAGATAGAAAGCGAGATGTATCAACGAAAGATATAGAGGAACAGAGAGATTTTTACTGAAGAAGATAGAGAGGGGAAAGACAGAGATGTATCAAGGAAAACAGAGAGTTAAAGAGAGCGATATGAGATAAAGAAAGAAAGATAGAAAACGAGAGAGGTGTTTTAAGAAAGATAAACAAATTTCCGTTAAGAAAGAGAGATATTTAAAGAAGATAAAAATATGGATAGATAGAGAGGATGAGAAAGAGAGAAAGAAAGAGAGAGAGCGTGAAAATGCATATAAGTGAGACAGGGAGATGTAAAAGAAAAATAGTCAAGTTAAAGGGAAGGTCAGTAAGGAAAGTGTATAGTTAAATTCTCTACGAGAGAATTCATTGAATTAAAGGCGACTTTCACGTCGCCATTTCTCTTCATATAACTACCGTGGTTGTTTTTGTTGTTCTTGTTAGTATTTTATCATTAAAATGACCATTTGAATTTAATGTTATCGTGATTCTCCTGCTCATGTTTATTGGTTGTGCGCATATAATCATTATTTATAATATCATTATTTTCCTTACAGCCATTTTGCTTATTGATCGTATGAAAAAAAAAACAAAAAAACAAGTAGCACACCGATTAAAATTCGTATAGTCTTTTCATAATAATAATAATAATAATAATAATAATTTTTTAGTTAATAAAAGAAAAAATATGATGATGATGATGATAGAGGAGGAAGATGGAGAAATATAATCCATAATAATAATAACCTGACCATAGCAGGTCATTACCGGATAATGACCTGGTAAGCGATTTTAATCAGCAGAAAACAGATAATAATAATAATAATAATTATACTAAGTTAAAACTTAGTGTATGGTATTCAGTGGGGTAGACTATACTATTATGAACTATTCTACCTTCGATATATTAATAAATCCACAATCTCATTAGTTGGGCGTGCTCTTGGATCTTCATCGAGACTCGTCCTAAAGCTGGTAACCTGAACATAATTACCCCTTGGCGGTCAAGGTTAAAACGCATCTCTACCAATTTCAATGAATACGAATAATATTTCATACCGGATCGGCCGTCACCCGAGACAACAAGGACCGCGTCCCTCAGAGAGGAACCAGTCTGAGGACGAAAAATCTGCCACTGGAACAAACTCTTCCACACAGGAAGAGACACTAGGTCACCAAACCCGGATTATTGCCAACCTTGGACCAAGTGACTC